TATTTAGTTTATGAAATTCTGTGCTTTCAATAAAACTCATATACCTAGAGTTATTAATTTCTCATTTTATCCGGCCCGTTGAAAGTGCTGAATTACCTAATGTGGCCCGCGGTTCGAAAAGTTTGGAGACCCCTGGCCTAGACTAAAGAAAGAGTTTTATGTTATTCATGTGACATATATTGCCACATTTTGTCTAACTTCAACTGCTTCTTAACCCACAGCCGTTTCAAATAAGACTTGTGTCTGACGAACAAGTTTTATGGACAAAAATATTAATTTGACATATATTTCCATATTGCTTCCAACTTACCAATTGTTTCCTGAGCCAGGATAATTTGTAAGAAGACATGTGTCATCAAATAAGTGGCGGAACTGGCCAGTGCGGAAACGAGCTACAACACTATCCTCCATATCAATACACACAGCCTAAAACCAAGAAATATCAAAATTCTACCTACTTATGTGTGCATGTATGAACAATATGATCATTCTGAGAAAAGAGAAGGAACTCAAAATATTTGAAATGAAGGGCTAAGAAGGAAATTAGTCCTCAAGGAATGGGAGTGACTGAGGAAGGAAAAACTTCAAAACTTATTATTAAATTCACATTTGCATTTGTACAGTAGCAGCAGCAGCAGCAGCAGTGGGTTCATAGGCATAGGCACATCAACTGATGAGGGTACTTGTCCCTAACCACCAGTTGGTATACATAAGTTATGTTATTCAGTTCAATGAAGCAAAACTACTTAATAAAAATTCAAACATGAGTAAGATTCATAAAAGATGAGAAATATCAACGGTTCACAAAAAGCTAACACTTTGAACAAAACAATGGGGACATCACTTAGTAGCCTGTGTATGGTGGGTGGCAAAGCACAATAGACCACTGTAGGTCGTGGCGCAAGGGTCGAGAAGGCCTACTGCTCATACACTCATTCATTGAGGGTGGCATGCTACCCAGAGTGCCTAGAACCAGAAGACTGCTATGAGTGCACCAATGGTTTCACCTTTCAGAGCTTGTTATCCTGGGTATCGTCCCAATTCCTTTGCCATTTCACCAAAATGGGCTGACATAGGGTTGTTCTAAAATCCACATTAGAACATAAAGTATAAATATAGAATTATTATAGTTGGAAATATGAAAGATTTTATTCAGGGTCGAATGTGACAATAGTGTTTCCATAACTTATGTATATTGTCTTGACAACTTGTGCTGTCTGTATGAGGCCTCATTTATATACCCTATTTGACCTAAGATGTACGATGTACAGTTATCATGAATTTGTAATATGTGACATATTTTATATCCAGCCCTACAGGGAGATGATTGGATCAATGAAATGAAAATAAATGTAAATGTAAAGGTGTCCTGAAAGCGGCCTCCGTAGTCTAGAGGTAACATTCCCACCTCATGACTCGTGGTAGGCGGGTTCAAACACCCGGCGGAGGTCGTCGAATTTTTAAGGGCGGAAAAATTCAGGGAACAAGTCCTCCGGGAGGGACTTTAAGCCGTGGGTCCCGTGTCGTAGCTTTACGGCACGTAAAAGAACCTCATATCTCCAAAGGAGATCACTGAGCCAAATTCAAGGACGTTTCCCGCCCAACAGCAGTCTCTAAGGCCTCTGATAGATGGGGGAAGCATTATAGATACCGCCAAGCCTGTTGAGAACTCGCTGGCTTGGTCGGGACTGATGGTACGCACCATTATCGGTAGGGTATAGAGACTGGTAGAATATCATAAAGGGAAGCACAATGGACCAATACTGGTCTAAGTGCATGGGGAAACCCACCCTCTCTAATAACTAACTAAAGGTGTCCTGAAGAGTGGCATGTCTAGCAGTAGCATCAACTGCTTCAATGCCAATGATACCCATGTGGTCTGGTATTGAAGCAAAGGTGACATTAAAACCCTGTTTTGGAAGTGAGTGACAGCTGATGCACCACAATTATAGTACAAGTGGGTGCCAGAAAATGAGTGATTGTAGCCTTTGAATAGTGTTCAGGAAATCAATACACAGTAGAAACCACTCTGGTAACTGAACATGCACAGCCACAGGCATATTCCATAGATCATAAAGCTCTGAACTTAGAGGACTGATCAAATCTTAAAGACTTGTGGATTTATATTAAATGCACACCTTGGGCCACGAAATAGCTCAAGCGGTTAGTTGCTGGCTTCCCACTGCAGTGGCCCGGGTTCGATCCCGGGTCTGGTCAAGTGGGATTTGGGGTGGACAAAGTGGCGCTGGGGCAGGTTTTCTCCGAGTACTTCGGTTTCCCCTGCCAAACTTCATTCCACCAATTGCTCCACAATCACCCTCACCTATCATCTGGGGCTGGTACAATAGGCCAGAAGTGGCCACATTACAAGGGACTTAGTCCCACCCCACTAGCAATAAAAAAAATGCACACCTCTCACTAATATGTTCATCAGAGACACATCTCTGAACCATTGGTCTATATAAACATCTGAAGATCAGATGGTAATCTCTAGTGTCTAATTCTTACATACTTACTAGTTAGGTCAGAAAATTTGAAGAATATAACTGTAACTGATAATTTTCATTTGATATCCATGCTGGATGGCAATTATATTGTCACATGTTAGTGACCAGACATGGGATTTGGATTGGTAATTGGATTTATTGGACTCTATAACTTATAACTACAAAGGATTATAAAACAATCACTAACCTACACACTTTACAAACCACTGTAACACATGCTAGGTCTTCTAAGTCTGCTGTGCCTTCACAAGCCCATTGGTAGTAGTGCCTCCCAACAGCGTACCTTCTGTACTCACATCCTTACCAGCTGGTGACTGTCTTGCAACTAACTAACTACAAAAGTCTGCGCCATAGCTCAAGTGGTTAGTCGCTGGCTTCCCACTGCAGGAGCCTGGGTTCGATCCCGGGTCTGGTGGAAAAAGTGGCGCTGGGGCAGGTTTTCTTCGAGTACTTCGGTTTCCCCTGCCAATCTTTATTCCACCAAATTCTCCAGCATAATCACCAGGGGCAGGTACAATAGGCCAATCAGTGGCCTCCGTGCTGGGTGAACACAGCTGGACTCCACCCCCCATCATGCGAACTAACGTCAAGTCAAAGTCATAGTCACATTATGACCACTGGTTAGCTGTCCAGTCAGTCTTGGTGTCAAGCCCCATCTGGGGCCCAAGATAAGATTTTTGTTATGTCAGTTAGTTGTGGTTTTGTCAATATGGGGCACTCTCTCTGAAGTAAGCCTGGGTTTCTCATTTGTTGCTGACATACTCAGCAGTATATGACATCTATATCTACAATTTTACTTGCTGGTATTCTATATAGTCATCTCTCAAGAGTCATGTTCTTGTGGATACATATCATTTACATTTTTAGATGTGACTCAAGTATATTGGTTCCTTGATTCAAAGTCAAAGTTATGTTACAACTAATGGTCAGTTGGCCCAAGACCAGATGGTTGTTACTGTCAGACAGTTGTGCGTTTATAGACATGGAGCGTCCTCTCTGATGAGAGGACATATCTGTCATTTATAATTACTGTTGGCCCTCGCCAGCACAATCATTCTTGAGTCCTGCGGGACTCGAGACCATATTTTACAGTCTCAGATGCAGGACTCCCCCAAACCTGGAAGGCCAGGTCCCTGTATTTATATCCACCAGCAACAGGGTGGCCCAATTATACCGAGGCATTGAGTTCCTTTTTCATCACTTCCTATGACTCACAGTTCCTTGTGTCCTGTGAGCCCTCATTATATAGCCTCAGCTTGGACCACATAGAAAACATCCATTCCAACAGCTCTTCCACTTTTGCATGTACATCTGGCGCTGCAGGAGTGTGTTTATGGAGCCACTGCCTATCAATGGCTGTCTCTTCTTCATCCACATCTTCTAAGCTCTTCTGTGACAAAATATTATCTGCCAGCTATTGCAATAGGTTCTGAATTTCTGTATATCTCCAGTGTAACTATGATAAAGCATAATACCATTTACATGAGATTCAACTACAGAAAATAAATCTTCTCATTCTTTTTCTTTCCTTATTTTATCCAAGTCATGCAACTTACCCTTGCTGTAACTTTCGCTTTTTCCAAATCAGCAAGTGTCTTAAAACTATGCCCTGAAATTCCATCAGAGCTTGAAAAGAAGCTGTGGAATGCATCCAGCAGTCTTTCATTGGGCTGAATGTGTTGAGGCTGTGATTTGAAAGTGGATTCCCTTTGTGTGTCAATGCCATGTTCTTGCAGTACAAGTGGCCAGAAAGCATCACCAATCTGGTTACCACACTGCCCAACTGCAGAAAATTAAAACATTTAAATAGAATCACTGAACTGGATACAAGCATTCAAATCAGCCACTGCTGGTATTTTATTTTATTATTATTATTATTGGAGGGGGTGGGTTTCCCCATGCACTTAGACCAATTATTGGTCCATTGTGCGTCCCCCTTTAATTTCTACTGTCCCCATACCCTACCAGTAGACGGTGTGTGCTATCAGCCCCGTTGAGCCAACGAGGTCGGCCCTCGGTACCTTGATACTTCCCCCCTCTACCAGAGGCATTGGAAACTACTTGGGCGGGAAAGTTTTACCTAATAATTTTGCTCTGAGGTCTCCTAGAGACATGAGGTTCTTTTATGTGCTGTAAATCTACGACATGGGATCCACGGCTTAAAGTCCCTCCCGGAGGACTTGTTCCCTGAATTTTTCCGCCCTTAAAAATTCCACGACCTCCACCGGGTTTGAACCCACGTACCTTGATTCATGAGGTGGGAACGTTACCCCTAGACTACGGAGGCCGCTCACTGCTGGTATAGTGCATTTTTATGGCCTGCAAAATCTGTGAAAGTTTTAAAACCACCCTTACTACTAACAGGTATCTTTGTAATATATCAAGTTAAATGATTTGTCAGCTAGCATTCCAGAACCAAAACTGACTGCACAGCTGCAATGTTGGTATTTTCAATTTCACACCACACATGCACGCACGTGCGCACACACACACACACACACACACACGTTCATATGCACTTACTCGTACACCACGCAAACCTACAAAAGAATAAGAACTGTGTATTCTTCAAAGATGTGCCACCAGTGTCAGATTCCGAATAGGGCTGAAGGTTGACAATCAACAACCCTCAGCCCAGCACAAACACTGAGACTATATGGACCCAACAGGACATCAAGACATTTACCAATCAGCAATAAAAAATATATAATCATCAGATAACTAAAAAACAAGGAACCTTTTTACCAATAATATTTAAACATCTACAATTTTAACCTATTTCACTGCTAGGACTGTATGATTTATTATACTATGATCCTTAACAATTGCAAAGCAAGCTCCTGCTACTGTCACACCTCTGAGGATGGTCCCAAAGGGCTGACCACGTAAGGCCACATAAATAATGGGATTATTTACAAGAAACTTGTTTACATTGGATAGCTTGTCATTCCAAGATTAATACAAGTGTAAAAGCAAAGACATCTGAGGTTCTTCTCTCATCTCCAAAATGTTATCGATGCAACAGAATCTGAAACACCTAGCATATGCATACATGTTTTTTTAACACAAACTTTGACCGAATAATGTGAAAATTGAACTGAATTTCTTCAGAACTGAGTAAGTCAAAGAATTAAACAAAATTGTAACTACATAATTTAAGCATACAGAGAAATGTAAGATATTTCCATAAGAGATGCCTACATTGTAATACATCATTACTTACTTACGTACTCACTCATGAAGCTGCCAATTCTGCAGCAACTCAAGAATTTCCCAGCATTTTATGGAACCCGAAGGGTCATTGCCGTGCCCACAAGAGCCCTCCACTGGTCCCTATCCTGAGCCAGACTAACCTGTTCCCAAACACCCTCAGTCTATGTTCCTCCCTTAATGTCAGAGACCAAGTTTCACATCCATACAGAACCACAGGCAATATTATAGTTTCGCATTTTCTAATTTTTATGTTTTTGGACAGCATATAAGAAGACAAAAGGTTCTGGTCTGAATAGTAGCAAGCATTACCCGAGTTCAATCTCCTGTTAATTTCCTTCTGAATTAGGTTTTGATTTATTATTGTCATTCCCAAATATCTGATTGTAATACATCATACCATTATAAAATAAACATTTTCACGTCTTTCAAATGATTATTTTTCAACTTGAATTAAATGCAAACTGCAGCATGAGAATTATGCAATACTACACAATGCACGAACGAATAATTATTACGATTTATGGATTAATTATTGGAATATGGGACCCCAATAAATTCTCTAATCGAAAGCATAAAAATACAATTTACAGTACCTTGAATTGTTATGAATTCACTCATTTATGACTGCAAAATAATATATATATGTCCAAAAGCTATGGGTCTGCGTTAATTATACTATTATATTCCACTTGCTTACATATAATTTTTGAAGCGGGCTATAAACAAAACCCACACTACAATTAGTAACGAAAGACCTACTTTACATTCTCAATAACCGTGACTCAAATGTACATAAGGATAACTAGCATAACTACACACAGCACACTACACCAGCATCGGAATCGTAGGAGCCATAAGAGTGAGCAGAATACACGACATAATTCATTGAATACGCGCCAGGCAATTAAAACCGGCGATGAGAATAATCGTAATCAGTATATCCAACACAAAACTGCAGAAGTCTGAACATCGTTTGTATCCTAATAAAGGTTCTTATTTTACATGCAATGTTAATGAAAGATTATGTAAATTTAAAAATGTGCTTGTGTTCATTTCCATTAAGGCGAAAGAATGCACAAACAAATACGTGAAATTAATAGCAAAGAAACAAAAATTTCAATACTTAGAAACTCGCGCCGGATTTGATGGTCCGCTGACCAGGTATCGCGCAATTTTCAACATAGCATTACCTCGGTTCTGTATCCGAATATGGCGAATGGGATGAATCTTCGTAAAGTAATGTGTGTAATTTTGACTCTTCTAGTATTCCAGGCTGTCACTATAAGTCAGAGTAATAGCCATAATATTCCATATAAAGGTAAATAAAAAGTTGCTTTTATCCTTACATATATTGTGAGGCAAATTATTTTTATGATTTGATGAAATATGTTGTTGGTCGTCCTTAACCTCATCGAATGAACAGACCGCCAATAAATTTAAATGACATAATTAATCTTGTGAATATAATAATTGGTTATTATGTGTCTGAACGTATGATTATGACTCAGTGCCCGTTCTAATCATTTACAGTCTGGTATTTGTATCCTGGCTTACGATTGCAGATAGAAGATAATCCCCAGTTAAATATATACTGCTACAGTGGTCAACCGAAGCATATAATAAACATTTGGCAGACGGCTCTGGTATGACCAAATAACCTTTAGGTACATGAATTTGATTGGATGCTGCAGTTAGGGCATGTTGTTACCCATACTTCTTAATCAAATTTCATTCATTCAGTTGCAGTTGGCTGTCAAGAATGATAAGTATGAGCTGTATGATGGTGCAAATCAAAATGAAGTGCTGGCGGAATATGAAGAGCACCGGTCATCTTGGGCCATTAACCCATTTTCATGGAAGCAGAAGGATATAAAACTAAACCCTTTTAATCAAAGCTGTGTTGGTATTCATAGTTTGGAAAAGTATGGAATCTATCTCAATATTATTAGTAAGTTTCCATATTTTATTCCCAAATATTGAACAAATTGTACTTGATATGTTGCCAGCTAGATGCTGAATTTTTCATCAGTTGATTATTAAATTCATATGTCTATCACGAAAGCTAAATATGTGGGGTTAAATTGTCAGATTTCACAGTTAAAGGTACATTTTACCATATTTTAAAAATAACCCTGGACTCAAAGTAAAGGACAAATATATCACCATCAGCACTTGGAGAACTATTTGCAATTTACAATTCAAATTTGAAATAGTACATTCTGGAAGCATAAAGGCATTTCTTGCACCCTTTCTCCAAAACACTAAATCAGTTTATAGTGAATAAATTGTGGTCGTGACCATAACACTGTGAACAGAAGACTTTTGAGCCTAACACAGTGGGTTACATTTGTGAATTATATTCATTGACACAAACTAGTTGATAATGTGAGCACCTGGCACCTTATTTGTAAAACACATCCAATTCTGTTGTGTATTAGCAAAATACAAAATACTGTAACATAGAAGATAGAATACTCTAATAAGCAATTAGTCTTGAATATCCTTCAAGAGCCTAGCGACACTGTCTGGAGACCTTTAAAGTGTAGCCGAGTGGCCGTGTGACACCATATGCGTACGCGCAGTCCATGCGTGCACACAGTGTTTTAAAATCTAATTTTAAGATAGAAATTCTTGTTCTACTTACATTATTTTTGGGCACCAGCTTTATAAGTAGACAGCCTTCCCTCCTGCGTCATCTAACTGAATGTTTCCTCCATGTGGTACTGTTGGAAACATCCAGAAATGCAGAGTCTGATGTCGTAATTTATGTGCTTTGTCTGGATGTAACTCCGTTTCCTTCGCGAAGAGCACACACGACAGCTCAGTCCCATATTAGAGGAAGTCGGCCAGTGCTGTCAAGTGGCCTCCTCTAATCAAGATATCGCCGATGACACAGCAGGAGGTCGACCCATGAACAGTTAAGGGCGAGGTTGAAATTGCGATGTCTTATAAGCGTTACGAACACAACGTGCTAGGCTTGAACGTTCTGGCAATGCAGGGCTATTCCGAGAACAGTACCTCTGTGTGGCTAGTCTGAGATATACACAGTCAGAGTTTCTGAAGGACAAAGTACGATAAGAATTCGCCCACACTCGTGCATACACAAAGGTTCCGATGTGACTGGAGAATGTAAAATACAAACATAAACTTTCTCCCCTTTTGCCAGATAAGACATAGTAAGACAGGATGTCAGCAGCATGCATTTATACTGCAGAAACGTTTTGTGCAGAAACTATGCAAATTTGTGGACAGACGCTCGAAATTGGGAAAAAATTCTTTTTGGAATCAGTGTAACAATTTGTACAGATTTTAAAATCTGTAAATTACAATATCTGATTCTATATTCTTTCTAGATAAAAGCAGCGTTTATTTCGTTTGTTTATCACAAAAATTGTAGAAATCACAGCATTTTCAGTAACATGCTTACGATTTTTAATACTCTACAATGGCGGACATTTAAATTAACTCCGGCCTGCTGCCATTACCGGAATTTAAATGGCCGTCTCTTAAAGGATATTCTTATTTATTATTTTCCAGTGTTTCTTTCCATAGCTGCTATGTCTTGATATGGAAATAGCTGAATTTCAGTAATGTGACTTAAACTGTAGTATTGAATTTACTCTGATGTTTAAAGCATGAATTAATTCTATCTATCAGCTAAGTTTTAAGTGACAGTCTATATATTTAGCAATATATTTTACTAACAGGAGCTTCTGTTTCCACTAGATTGGCAACTACATGCCTGTACTGGCCTGTGATCCTCTCTCCAGCATCTCCCTGGTCTCTTTTATGTCATTTATGACGTTAAAAAAAAAAGTAAAGGTATCCTTGTAACAGGCCATGGAGGCCTATAGGGTTGTGAGATGTTGAGGTTCCCACAATTTCTAGACAATCGGCTCATAGATGGCGGCAAGGTTGTCAGCTTTACGCATCAGCTGCCCTTTACCCCCAAGAATATTCCAAGAACAATCCTTCTACTCATTTCTGTTAGAGGCTGAGTCAACCCCAGGGCCATAGTGCGGCTGGAAGGATTAGATAAATTGAAAAATCCACCTCATTGGGATTCGATCCCGCAACCTTCTGGCTTGTACCATAGTGTCTCAGCCAACTGCGTGCCCCCTGTCATTTATGATGTAAGTTTGTAATTCTGATTGCTTTCCCAACCACATATTTTCCTCCATTCCATTAAGTATATTACTGACTACATTTGTCATACATGTCAGTATGTATTGTATATTGGGGTCTTTAAGTTCTCACTCCTGCCACGTTTAATCTTTTATCTCTGTGACCTGTGTACATATATCATTATCATACTTTACTGCTGGTTTAATAACTTGATTTCAGGAATTGATTACTGGAGGGTCCTACTGCTGGGTGCAGGAGTACTGCTGTTTATCTCAGCTCCTAAACTCAGTAACAATCCCTTGTTCTATTACATTTCTGGAATCTCGGTTGGAATATGTGCATCTTTTCTCATTTTGGTATACATGATGAGTAAATTATTTCCAAAGGTAAAGTATGCAGAACTGTAAATGTCTTGAGGATGTTTGAATTTAAGAAAATTATGACGAGAAAATAAAATATAACTGTACCTAAGTCAGTAAAATCTTGTGCTCATCAGAACTGAAGTCTGGGACAATCTGATTATATGACTGATAATAAATGCTTTCAAAATTTGGCAGAATTTTAGTTTTGGGAATATCAATAGATGTACATTTTATATTTACATTAAATTCTGATACAAACACTACATTTGTGAAATTAAATTTTGATCATAGGTTAATTCATATTTTGTTTTTTCAGAGGCCTGTCATGTATGGAATTGTGATTGGAGGTTGGACAGTGGGAATATATCTCCTTCAGCTTGTATGGGAAAATTTACGTTTAATAATTATACAGTATCAGACCCATGTGCTTTCCTACGTGGTGTTCACAGGGCTTGTGAGCTTTGTTGTGTGCTATCGGCTTGGCCCCGTAACAGATCGGAGGAGTAAAAACTTAATTAAATGGGCCCTGCAGGTATTGATAAATGTTTACCTAGAATCTTGTGAAGTAAAATTTAATTATAGGTTGATTTCAGTAATGTGTCCCATGTATATCATACATAAAGACCAGGCTTAAATAAATTAATTATAAAATCTTTATCTGCATATAGATAGTAGTTTACAATACTGAGTTGTAAAGTCTTGTTTTCTAGAAGTAGGTGGCTTTGTTAAATGTTGGAAACAAAACTACAAATGGTATATAGCTTGTGCACCTTAGCCCAAACATGTCTGAGAGTTGTGACACATGAAATATGTGAATACTTATTTTCAGGATATAATTTTACACATTAGATTGACACTGTTACAGTTGAATGCAATTTGGAAACATGATTCCTTGATGTGCAATAGAATGGAAATATCCCCGGTAGAATTTCAGTTGGTGTATAATTTTCATGGAAAATGTTTTTAAAGTTGAATGTGACATGACAGCATGGTATAGATATACATGCCTACAGACTCTGCCACTCAGTTCCTTGATGACCATTGAAATAAAAATATCCCATGATAAAATTTCAACCATTACATAATCTTCATGAAAAATGTGAATAAAGCTGAATGCATAGTGGGAACAGCAATGATATTTGTGCCTACTGACTCCACTATGTGATTCCTTCATTAATGTTGAGACAAAAATGCCCTCAATAATAACCGACGCACAATTTTTTTTTTCCAGAACATTTCCCATATTGTCTTTAATTTTAATCACACTTTCTACAAAACTTATGCACAGGGCAAAACTTTATCAAGAGTAAGGAAATGGAAATTACTGGGTTTTTGGACTTTTTCCATATGCATTATTCTGGAAACTGGATCTGTTTCCATCCTCGGTTTAAGGGGGGAGACACCTACTCAGTTGTGTCCCTTGGAAAGGGCTAACCTCAATCACTGGATCATCAAAACCCTTTAGAGTGTAAAACCATGGGGTTTAATATTTTTCGAAAAAGTTCTTGTCCAAAAGGAAGGGTGTGCAAAATGCATCGGTAAATACGATAAATATATTCCTTAGATCATAGTAAGTGGTATGTGAAAGAGGTCAGAGTACTTCAAACCACATTCGGAAAATACCAGGGAATACAGTAGCAATACACCTAGACGTAAATACACTTTTTAGTTCCATAGTGTGCTCTATAACTGATTTAAGACAATGTCTTATAAGCAATTTTCCCACAGGGTGCATCACTAACAATGGTTTTCGTCAGTAGCCAGTTCCAAGAAGCATCTGTAGCAATTATTGTTATTCTTCTAGCAGCTTACAACTTTCCAGCAGTATGGACTTCAAAGTTGCTAGCATATTGGTAAGAGGTGATCTCAGTGAATAAATTGCATGTTAAGAACTGGCACCATATGAGTGCACATATGGTCAGGGATTTTTATACTTGGTGTTCTGCATGTTGAAGATATGGACTTAACATTGTACTTTGCATCACTGCATGTGCACTTACTACTTTGTTAAATGCAATGCATACCATCACATTTTTTGTGCAATATATGCAAATAAATCTATCAATTCAGCTGTGAAACTAATGATTTATTCTGTTCCTGGCATCACAATTATAAAAGCACTTTTATGAAACTGTAAGCCATTACTAGATTGGTTATTAATGGTGACCTTCAAACTGCAATGATTATATGGTGTTAAATGGAAGGAACTATCCCATCATTTAGTTGGAGGAAAACCAAGGAAAATCATAGCAAGGATAACCGGTTGCTGGGCTGAGATTTTAACCTGGGAACCTGTGAATTTAAAACAGGATTCATAACCACCATTTAATAATTCTATGGCAGTTGATATAAAAATATCTGGTAATGTGATGTTTATGGCTGTAAGTGTGCTTTTGAATCAACCACTTTTGTCTACTTAATGGCAAGTTTGCATATGCTTCTTCAATGTGGAATTTATTCCAATGGATTTCTTTATTATCTCCATGTGAACTAAATTTTATTTTCCCTAAACCAAGAGTAAAATTAATTTTTTATGAGAGTTTCTGGGGTTCTCATAGCAGTGATTATGAACAATGCTGGCTTCTGCAATGTTATGCCATGCTGTGTGGTAGAAGTTTACTCACATTCCTCCAAAATGTCAGTAAACTTCAACCAGAGTTCACTGCATCACAACTTCTTAGGTTAGCAGTTTATATAGAAATAGAGTACTCCCGTTCTGTGAGGTTACATTCTTGAAAACTTCCATGGTAGGGGAGACTGTAGTTGGTGCTTTCTAAGAGTTCTGGAAATAGGATGTTAAGTTATCCATGGCTGTGATTACACTCATCAGCAAGCAGTACAAGAGCACAGGTTGAATCCTGAGGCACTGTCAAGGCCAGAGCATTAAGGCCCTTGCTGCCTTAAGTGTTGCAGCAAACATTTCAGGACTGGAGATAATCATATGGCTTGATATGTGTTTCCAAAAATGTCCAGTCCCATCAATGTTGAATACCTGTTGTGGCATATAACTTCTCAAATTCCTCAGGGTACCTTCCACTAGCTTTATGATCACCCAAGATTGATTCCCCCATATTCTTCAAGTTCTGTTGGCTGTATTGTTTTTTAAACTTATCAAAACACGTTCAATAAGCTTGATATTTTAGGTCATGCATGGCTTTCTCATCTTCTGTGCTTGATATTCAGTGCAAATTGTTGAGTGCTTTCCCATGTTGTGATCAGACGGCATGAGAGTACATGATTTGCTTCCAGTACTATCTCTAATTTGAGCTTCATTTGTATTGCTTTTAATCTTCTTTTTTACTGGCGATACAGCCCTGTGTGAGTCTTGGCCCCCTTAATGATTTCGTAACAGTCCATTTTTATGAGGTGTGAGTGTTTGCCCCATGTCCAACCCCCAATCTGGAGGACCAGGGACTACACTTTGTCTGGCCCCTACCCTTTGGCCTGTCTGGCATGAGTGGCTCTTCCAGGAGCTTACATTATGCCATTAAGACATACAGGGGAGTGGAGGTATAGCTCCACCATTCACAACCTTAGCACTAGATGGAGGTGAGTGGTCACCTTCACAACCCTGCTGCTTTACTTCCTGGGAAAGAGCCCCAGGTACCTATTGGATAGGAGGCTGAGTGACTGGTTTCTGCCTAAAGCAAACACAAACTAAAGATGTTCTGCCCTTGATCATTATAGTATGTCAATATGTATGCAGTAAGCACATATATAAATGTTATCGCTAGCTTCAACAATAAATTCTTAGATACAACCAGAAACAGCATATTAACTTTTAATGGCCATGGGTTGCACTGTTATAATTCAGTCTAGCTGGATGAGCACTGTGCAGTAAACCCTTGCTAAACTGGATCAATATATGACCAATTCTGTGCACAGCTGAGTACATACTTTAAAAGTTTTTAAATAAAGGCTCTGCAGTGATCTTTTTATTCATTTGCACCAGCACTACCTATATTATTAAATTTTCCATTTATTTGTTTTCTGAGGGCTATCTTCTGCTTAATTAATCTGGACTGTCACTTAATCCAGATGGCCTCTCCACAATTAATCCAAATTAGCAAGGATTTACTGTATTTCTTTCCATACTAATACCATTACCCCTGATTTAAAATCAGCCACCAGCCCCGTAATACTGGGAGATTCAAAATCTCACATTTTTGGTTGGTTTAAGATCCAGACTTATGCATGGTCTGGCAATAAAGTTCCCAGATTGGTGTAAAGAAAGAAAATATACAAGGAAATAAAAATTGTTTTATTTATATTCAAAGTAAAAATCTCTGCCTACTTGAATACATGTATTGAATCATTTAAGGAGATTTTGAAAACAGTTGGCAGAGGCCTCCAAAGGAACAGTGTTCAGTTCAGCCATCACATTCCTCTCAGAAAGAGAAAATTGGGATTGTCTTGACAAGTCTGGATGAAGTAAGTCTCCATTGTTTCTGCCCATCTGTGGGATGAATTTTACCTTCCTACAGAAAGGAGGAGGATTTGATGAATCATCTCCTTACTGATGTTTAATTTATCTGCCATCACTCTGAGAGCCCATTGACGATTTTGTGTCATCATTTCATTGACATCTGTGATTGTGTCTGCATTTTGAGAGGCTGAAGGACACCTGCTTCTTGGATCATCCTGAAGATACTCATGCCTGTTTTTAAATCATTTCATCCATATATGCTGCTACGACTTAAGGCTTTACCACCACAGACAATTTGCAACATTTCATATGTTTCTATTGGCATTTTACCTAGTTCGAACGCAATTAACTCACTGAGCTGCTACTCTTGAACTTTCAATGACTGGACTTTCTGACCCCTACCAATTGTTGGTAAAAGGCAGAACTATACTTACATGGCAGTAATTCGTTTTACCGCCTAATTTGAGTGCTGCAGCACTATTGCCAGACCATGTATTAAAATTATGATTCAGAATTTTTTATTGTCTCCTTAGTACCATTTGGGTAGTGAAATAGCTTAAAACAAGATGAAATCACTAAGACCATTAGCAAGATATACATTACATGATCACCAGTGCAATGAGGAAACTAGGTGAAGTCATTGGAACTATTGGAGATTATAGAACCAGTTGGTATGAATGTATTTTAAGAATAGATCAGATTGAATAGCATATAAACTGACAAGAAATGAAACATTAGCAGGATGTTTTAATCCTGGAACTAGAACACTGACTGACCTACTCTGTAATTATTGATGAACTACACTGGACCACATTTTCTTTTCCCACTTGCAATTTACAGTTCATACACTTTTACAGAGTTCTTTATACACGTATACATGCATGCACACACAGTGGGGGGGATTGGGTTTTATATCTGGTTTATCTTACTAAAATGTAATTTTATGAATATCTTTTTCTGAAGGCAGAAAAATTTTCTGCCTCTCCTCAAATGATACAGTCCCTAGTGAGGCTGATTATCTTCATAAATTTTAAGTTCCTATTTGTCTATGGCCCTTTTCCTTTTCAATGAGGTCAGATGTTAATTTTCAGCTAAGATAATGGATTTTTGCTGACTGCAGGAAAAGACAGTTTCCACCCAAGATGAAACTGCTGAATGAAGATGAGTACTATGAGCAAGGGGTACGGGAAACTACAAAGGCTTTGGAAGAGCTACGAGGTTACTGCTCCAGTCCTGACTGCAATGCTTGGAAAACTGTGCTTAAACTCAAAGAACCTATTAGGTAATGTAACTTACTGTATAAGAATATTTTTATGGAATTTGAAAATACAGTAATAACCAGACCCTTTGTTTTTCATGTATTTGCAACTTTATGTCCGTCACATAGAGTAAGTGCATATAATCAGCTTGTATAAAAGAATGATTTCATGATAGCTTATCAGAGAGTTTGAATATACTGAATGAAATTGGGATAAAGCAACAAGGAGAAAGAATATTATTTTCTGGGATGTCACACCGTGTACTCTTCACCAACATGCCGGAGAAAAATATACAGCTTCTATCTTTGGGGCAAAAGACTAAGTGAAGTATGTAACCAGCTAGATGCAGGTGACAAGACCCTAAGGAGGGGGCAGTATATTCCTCCAAAATATTTGTGAACTTCTGAACTGCACAGCATCACATCTCATAAGACAATACTGTTCATTGTCACTGTTCTGAGAATCTCAAATGCAGCAGCAAGAAGAAAGTTTGACATCAGTGCAAAGAATAATATGTTAATGCAGTTGGAAAGTAATGGAGGCTAAAATAAGAATGAGTTTTGTTTTAATTCAGGTGCCTGATTCATTAGAGAAACCTTAGCTGCAACACACTCCCTCCCCCTTATTTCTGTATCTTTAGTATCATTCTCTCTAGAGGAAACAAAACAATTCTCCATCTTCCATTCAATTTCTACATCACATGAAAGGTTTTACTTTTGATATGAATATTAAATATTTATGGCTTTTATAATTATTTGTAGTTTTTTACATTTTTATGATGATTTGTGAAAATTTGTTTCATATAGTTATACAAGCACCACCACGACCACCACCACAACTACTACTTTGTACAACTTTCTGCCATGTCACTGAGTTTTTAATTTTCTTGTGTGCTTTAAAAATAAACATGTTTATTTCCCAGATTTGCCAGTTTTATGAATGGGACCTCGCACCTAAATGATGAAGAACTTTTGGCGTATGAGTCAGAAGCAAGAAGAACTTTAACTGAATATTATACAGATGATGATTCAGAATCGGGTTCTGAGTACTAAGGAAGAAAAGCTTCACCAATATACAAACCAATCTCCAGTGAACCAAGTTATATTTATTATGGAGTTCTCCAGGCTCACAAGTTCAGCTTTTAATTATAAGAAATCTGTCATTTTTATACAAACTAGTCTTTCATGTTTATGAACAGCCAATTTATTTATGACAATGCAAGTAACATTCAAGTTATATTTTTTTTTGATAAAATAGTGTGTAGTCTAGATTCTTGGCAAATTAGCATAAGTTTTTACTCTGTTCAGGTAAATGAAGTCATTTGTGTGTGTGTGTGTGTTGGTACCTTAACATGACTGTGTGTATGATCCCGTTTTATTTATCATTCTTTAAACATGTTGTTATGTACTTAAAGGTTAATTAACATCTTCAGCCTAGAGGGAATATAAATACCTTGCCAATGTGTGTCAGAGGGATAAAGGACAGCAGGCATATTTAAATTCAAGAACAAAAATATCAGTTCTATCATTTTATGAATAAATATGGAATTTATGTACAAGGATCTGTATGTGAATATGATCACAAATTAAAGCAAAATACTCACTTTTAGTTTACATGGCTGTTGGTGATGTAAGTCTTCATATTTGTCATGGTTCTGACAATCATATCACAATACACAAAAACCAGAAATTTGCACATATGGAATAAAGAATGTTTCACTTCAGTCAAAGGTCACAGTTTTGCACAGCAATTAGTCTTGAAATATTGATGTTATTAGGTTATCTTTGTGTGAAAAATCTGGAAAGATCTTTGAAACACAGTCCTATATCACATTTCTGACAGTATATAATAATATATGTTTCCTGACTGCCTGCATATATCTTATACATATGCTACAAACTCATTCTACCCACTGAATAGACAGTGCTTTTAGAACCTTCTTGTTTTGCATGAGTATGTACTGAAGAACTGAGCCCTTCTTGTACTCATGGAACTGAGCCCTTCTTGCGGAGCTGCCCATTCTGCAGCTACTGAAGAATTTCCCAGCATTTTATGGAACCCGAAGGTTCATTACTGTGGTTACAAGAGCCCTCCATTGGTCTCTGTCCTGAGCCAGATCAATCCAATCCATGCCATCCTCTCTTTCAGCAAGATGTAAAATTAATTTACTCCTGGTAGCAGTTGGTATAGTGACTGGCTATGGGCTGGATGGCCATGGGGTTGGAGCTTGAGTCCTGGTAGCAGCAAGTTTTCTCCTCTCCACATTGTGCAGACTGGTTATAGGGCATGCCTAGCCTCCTGTCCAATAGGTACTGTGGATTTTTTTCTCTGGGCCATGGGGCGTGAAGCTGACTACTCACCTCCAACTATTGCCGAGGCCAAGAATATGTTACTCTATACATCAACTCCAACATACATCTTCATGGCATAGTACTTAATTATTTAAACACAAGGAGAACTTTACCTTACCTTCATATGGTAGCCCAGAAAATGTTGGTCTCTGTATTGAAAAAGTACTTGTATTTTCTTTCCATTAATTTTCCTTCTTGGAAAATTTTCTTCTAAACCACCACCTTTTCGTGTCCTCTCTGCAGCTGTAGGAAAACAGGGTCTGTTTCAACTTGTCCATGGTTATTGCTGGTGAGTGTATAATGGAAACCTTAGGCAATTTCATGTCTCATTCTGAATAATTCACTTTTCAGATTATGTTCTATTATCTGTATATCTAGCTTTATGTCTTTAATTTTACTCTAAACGGGCTTACCCATTCTGCACTGGCTGCACTATTTGATTAGTTGAATAGCTTTGTGAGACAGTCAACCATCTGCAACAAAATTAATTCTGTTGTCTACTCCTGTGACTTCAGCCACAAGATAATGTAGTAGAGAAAAACATGTGTTGTGTTATAACAACATTCAACACAGTTAAACAGCAGTCAGTTGGTGTTATATCATCACAGCTAATGCCAGTAGATTTTCTAGCTCTTGAGAAGTGAAATGTTCATGTCATAATATAAATTTCTTTTTTCTTTATACATAGTATTAAAGCCGAGATTATACTAAAATTCTCTGGTAGCTTGACAAACCGCACTGATACAATCAACAGGCTGAAGTACTGTTATGAACAAAAATTAGAAACTTTGAACAAGTAACAACATGTAGGTTATGGTAATTATGTCATGAAACAAAAGGAAAATACACATATCTCACATTGTTGTCCATTGTTCAGTGTGTCTAGAGTGAGACACCAAATTGTCTTCTTCCATTGAAGCCATTCCATTTTGTGGAGAACACTCGTGGGTAACCAGCTGCTTGCATTTAGTCTCCTTATGTGAGTTTAATACAAGCAATCTTGTTGGCTTATCCATTCGGATATCCAGTCTGCAGGTAGTTCTTCAGCAACTGAGTTTTGTGGGACATAATTACCTGCTTTTATAAGCAAGAGAGTTCAAGAATCTCTTGCCTTTTGTTGTGGGCTATCAGGAACATTACATATGACACATAAAAGTGGGTGGTATTATTAATGGTGATGCCAAACCAATCACCAGTCTTCACTTCCCATAACATTGCATTCTTCATGCTGTTTCTCAGAATAAACCATCATCTGGTACAGACTGAATGAAGAGTTTTCAGAGAATGTTCTAGTCCACAGCTGTGCACTCTAAATTACAGTCAACCCAAAATTATCTAGGCCGATGGACAGGACAAGATGCACAAATAAAAAGATTATGGATAATCCATGACATATTGTTTTGTATTCTTACATGTCACTAATTACACTTAATCACTTTTCACATACTAGTTAGTTAGTTATTGGAGAGGGTGGGTTTCTCCATGCATTGAGACCAATACTGGTCCATTGTGCTTCCCTCTATGATATTCTACCAGTCTCTATACCCTACCGATATTGGTGCGTACCATCAGTCCCGACCGAGCCAGCGAGTTCGGCCTCTACTGGCTTGGCGGTATCTATAATGCTTCCCCCATCTATCAGAGGCGTTAGAGACTACTGTTGGGCGGGAAATGTCCTTGAATTTAGCTCAGTGACCTCCTTTGGAGATATGAGGTTCTTTTACGTGCCGTAAAGCTACGACACAGGACCCACGGCTTAAAGTCCCTCCCGGAGGACTTGTTCCGTTTCACAGTTCATGCCTTGAGCAAATGTGCTACCATATAAAAGTAAAGTAGAGCTATCCCTGTACCAGGCCGCGAAGGCCCATAGGGTTGTGAGATGTTGAGGGTCCCACACTATCTAGACAATCGGCTCAAGGATGGTGGTAAGGTTGTCAGCCTTATGCGCTGGCTGTGCTTTACTCCCCAGAAAAATTAGTTAATTAATTCCTGGTGCTCATTTCTGTTAGAGGCTGAGTAAACCCCAGGGCCTAGTGCAGCTGGAAGGATTAGGTCAACTGAAAAAAATGCAATGACCTCATTGGGACTTGAACCCGTGACCAGTCTATACTGCTCTCAGATACACCTCATTATCATGAATGACAGTCAGCATCATCTTTATACACATGTCTGGCCATTATCAGCTATGTCCAAGTTAAATCCTTTGTCCTATCAGCCTCAACTCTTCTCTTTTGAAAACACTCGAGAAGCTAGTGGACAGATGTACAAGATGTAGAGCCATAGAGAGATAGAAATTCTGTAAGCGTTCCGTGTTTCTATCATTATAGCAAGTGATTTCATTGGGACACAAACCCACGAACTTCCGCCTTGTAGCATAGTGCCTCAAAAGTTATGGTGAGATATTCTTTGCATCTCCATCAACATAAATACCATAGAGGCAGGTCTGTGGATATCACTATTCAATCTTATAAGATGTGAGGATGGGTTGCTGTGGGAGCTTTTCTGGACATTGAGGGTGCATTTCATAATACCACCTTTGAGTCCATGATTAGAGCAACTGAAGAGCATGAGGCAGAGCACACTGTTGTAAGATGGATCCATGCCATGCTCAATAATTGGCAGATTGTGACAGCTCAAATGGGCTGTCCCCCCTAGTGGGAAGCCTGGTGGATAATGGCCTCCTTGTATGGCTCAACAAAGAATGCCTGTATAGACACAAGGCTACACTGATGACTTGGCCTTCTGATAACTGGAAAATGTCCAAGAACTGTCTCAGAGATCATGTAAAGGGCTCTGAGTATAGTACAGATACGGTGTATGGCCAAAGAACTGTTAATCCTTGTAAAATGGAACATGTCCTCTTCTCTGCTAAGATGGCTTGGGGAGCCTCTGAGACAAGGAATTAGAAAAGCCTACTCTTCCTTTTGGCAATGTTGTAGGACTCTTGGCAGGCCTGTTCTTATCAATGCAGCAGAATTTTGCAGGATTAGAGTCTGTCTACCCATGATTAGGGCTGAGGAGACTAGCATCTGTATCACTTGGTCTGTGAACACAGCTCCTACACCTGTTCTTCAGGTTGTCCTTGTTCTTCTGCCCCTTCAGTTGATGGTGGTGACTGAGACTAGAGCCTCAGCATGCAGTCAGTGGTAAAGGCATGTGGTTGGGGAGCGAATCAGTCACAGCACATGGCCAGGTCCTTGCCCAGCTAATGAAACTGGACCCTGTCCTTCAAATGGGTCAGGATAAAATGATACCAATGACTGCTCTTTGGAATCCTGTTAAAGTGAAGATTCCATTATGCAAACACTAGTTAATTGCCTAGCCCATGACCCTTCAGTCTGGAGGGCTGATCTTGGATACAGATGGTTCTAGAATGGCTGGTGGGACTGGTGCAGGTACATGTGGGATAAGATGGAGGAGGAGGCTATTCTCACTTGGTGTGCATTGCACAGTGTTCCAGGCAAAATACCCTGCAAAGTACTGCACATAAATGAACTACACAGGACAGCAAATTTACATTTTCTCAGCCAGGCAGCTCTGTGAGCCTTTAAGGCAATATGGATAACATTTGAAGTAGGTCTGGGTATGCTAACAGTCAATTTGTGACTGGTAATGTTCCTCTTGGTGCTGGCACAAAGTAGGATTCAGAGCAATGAGGATGCAAATGCCATGGCTAGGAAGGAATTGAGCAATTCATGTCTTGGCCCCAAACCAGCAATTACTATCTTATTATGTGTTGGTAGTCTTAAAATTAAGGAGTAGATGACAAAGAAGCTGTCTGAATACTGACCTGCTACACAGGGTATGAGTCATAACTCTTCACTGAAGGGCCTTTTGAAAAACTGCCGAGGAACCTATTGGCTTACTTGGACAGGGCACAGTGTAGATATTAACAGGATTGTGGACTGGCCACTGTAAACTGAGACTTGAATAATGCTATATGCAGGAAGTGCAGACAGGAGGAAGATCATCCTAAGACAGTTATTAGTAGGGCATCAACCAGATTCTGGCTCTAGCACTGAAGAACCCTAGTGAAACTGGAGGGCACACAATGGACCAAGTATTGATCTGAATGTTTGGTGTCACAAGAAGATCCATACATAACTACATCCTCAATTTTAAAGGATTTTAACATTTTAATACTAAAATACAGCAGAGATCTCGATGTGAAAAATGGATCCATTTTAAAGAAATTCATTTTGGCATTAACTTGTAATGTGATGACTGTAATTATTTATTTATTCCAAATTCATCTGATGATGATGATGTTCAATTAAGATCAAAACATTTAGAGGTATAATGTGACCACAATAAAGTAATCCTGACAGAGTTGTCCACGTCTACTTTACTTTCAAGCTGTCATCATGTAGACGGCCCCCATAAAACATGAAATGTTAATAAACTCCCTATATCACATTCCATGAAACTCTGCCAAGGTGTTCTCGAGTTATTTCATTCAGGCAGATTCATGGAGTGATTTTAATATGTGCTCTGCAGTGTATGAACTTACAAAGTATACATAAATTAACCTAAATTTTGGTAGTAGAATTTCTTTCACATCAGATATAATGGTTATGCTAACATGTCTCATATGTCTCATTTATAATCAGCCACATAACAAATTAAACATAGTACAGAATGATGAGGTTAACAATACAGGAGAGACTTTATGTTGTGCACTCCAACAGCATAAGAGGGGAATGTGATCACGAATTATGTGTGTAAGCTGGAATATGGCAGATATGGCCTATTTAAACATACTAGCCCACCATTTAGCTGGATACATGGATGAAAATTATGGAAAGTCTTATTCAAGATGGCTAATAACAGATCCAAGATTCAAACCAGGTATCTCCTGAATACAAGTCTTGAGCACTCCAGCCACATTGACTTTTCTGGTATTATTCTATGCTACTCCCTTTAATTGGGGGCACGCGATAGCATAGTTGGTTGAGACTCTATGCTTGACGGTTGCAGGTTCAAGTTCTGATGAGGTTACTGGATTTTTTCAATTGACATAATCCTTCCAGCTGCACTATGGCCCTGGGGTCGACTCAGCCTCTAACAGAAATGAGTACTAGGAATATTCTTGGGAGTAAAGGGCAGCCTGCATGTAATGCTGACAACCTTACCGCCATCTATTAGCCGATTGTATGGAAAATGTGGGAACCTCAACATCTCACAACCCTATGGGCCTCCACCGCCTGTTACATTGCTGTATGTCCCCAAACTGAGTTGCACTAACTGTTGAAGCATACTGCTACTTCTGGCAGGTTCTCATTATAATACATCATAACAGGTACCAACAGATTGTTATAGTAAACCCCAGTATCTTTATATAATAAAATATGCTTTAAACAGCAGTACTTTATTTGTTTTTCATATCAATACAGTACTTCAAATCACAATATAATTACCGTCTACCTTTACCCTTTTTCTTTGAAGCTCCAGAGCCTGACTGAGACTGACTCGGGTCTGAACTTCCCTGTTTTCCGAGCCGGGATTTCAATTGAGGAATCATCTGCCCAAGATGCAGCATCACAGAATCACCTATATACAAATTCAATACATCCATAATTACATTCTTCATGCAGAAAACAAGTGAAGATGCACAAGGGAAATTATATACATGCAAAAGTTAGGAAATGGGCATAGGGCATAACAATTCAGGCATGTTTGATCCTTTTATTTAATTTAAGGACAATATATAGAGATTATATAATGTTGAATGAAATGAGATGATTGTAAGTGGCAAACAGTATTAGTTACATAAAAATCATATAACCTCAATCCAAAATCATTAAAATCATAAGTTTTGGAGGCTGTGAAATACAATGTCTCACTCCATGGCAAAGCAGAAGTTTAGAATACCTTAAATTGAAGAGCTGATGAAATTATCTAAACCCAGGAGTATAAATCCTAAATACAGAAAATTACACAAAAGCTGGTGTTTTGTATCTTCTTTTCTAGATTGGATATTAAATTAAAGGTTGCAGTATGTTGGGCAAATAATGTTGACTGACTCAACCAGATGAGGACACAGTGTACTGGAGAGGACAACTCTTGGAAAATGGCCTTTTGAAATACCAAGGAATGTAAGGATATTAATAACACTTAGCTTAGGGAAACAGATTGTGGTGAAATGGGTTAGACTAAATTAACTGAATCAGGTGCCTATGGGAGGCTCCTTTGTTAGCACTAGCGCTCTAGCTTCTAAGATAAGAATTATTTTTAACACTTTAAATTGTTAAGTTCTAACCAGTTTTGAAACTAGAACTCTTCCCCAAGTATAATTAGAATGATCAAGTCAAAGAGGATGAGGTGGACAGGGCAAAATTAACTGAATCAGGTGCCTATGGGAGGCTCCTTTGTTAGCACTAGCGCTCTAGCTTCTAAGATAAGAATTATTTTTAACACTTTAAATTGTTAAGTTCTAACCAGTTTTGAAACTAGAACTCTTCCCCAAGTATAATTAGAATGATCAAGTCAAAGAGGATGAGGTGGACAGGGCATGTAGAACAATTGGGGGAGAAGAGGAATGCATATAGGATATTGGTGGGAAAGCTGGAAGGAAAGACCACTGAGAAGATCAAGGTGTAGGTGGGTGGACAATATTAAAATGGATTTTAGACAGACAGGATGGGATTGTATGGATTTGAGTGATCTGGCTCGGTATAGGAACCAGTGGAGGGCTCTTGTGAACATGGTAATGAACCTTCGGGTTCCATAAAATGCTGGGAAATTCTTGAGTAGCTGCAGGATTGGCGGCTCTTCAAGAAGGGCTCAGCTCCACGAGTAAGTAAGTAAATAAGTAAGTAATCAGTTTTGAAAACATTAAATAATGAGTTTGGCTTAAAAAAGGGTAACATTTTGGGCTTTTTGTCAAAATTGTAATATGGCAGATCCTTCTCAAACAAGCTGCGTATTTATTTCAGTATGTACCACCAATCATAAAATTCAACTTACGTGAAGGAAAGGCAGGGTTAAGTGGTGTACCATCATCAGATTTCAACTGGATTCTGATCCGACCACGGTACAGAAGCTCCTTGCTCCTCTCTCTACTATACAGTTTATTTTCCACTCCAACTTTCATTCCTGCTGCTGACAAGACATCACGTATTTCTTGATGAGTTGGATTTTCAACTGCCTGAATAAAAATAAACAAGTTGAACTGAAGGACAGAAAGACTACATTAAGACTCTATAGTGTTGACTCCTAAACTCAGCAAAAACTAGTGTCTTTAGTTGATGTCCTTACTCTTATAGAGAACCTCAGTACCCATTCAATAGGAGACAAAATGCATCTCAGATCCATTCTGCTATCCCGAGTTAGGTGCCTAAACCAGCTTAACTATAACACCAATTAAGTAAAGGAAGTAAGTAAAGGTATCCCTGTAACAGGCTGTGGAGGCTCATAGGGTTGTGAGATGTCGAGGCTTCCACATTTTCTACACAATTGGCTCATACATGGCAGCAAGGTTGTCAGCCCTATGCGCCGGCCGCCCTTTACCCCAAGAATATTCCTGGTACTCATTTCTGTTAGAGGCTGAGTTGACACCAGGGCCATAGGGCAGCTGGAAGAATTAGGTCAATTTAAAAAATCCAATGGCCTCATTTGGACTTGAACCCGCGACCTTCCAGCTTGTAGCATAGAGCCTCAACCAACTATGCTATCCCGTGCCCCCCAACACCAATTAATGTACAGAATTTCACATACAAGATTTTAGTTTGAAAACATGAAGTGAACTGACAAACAAGACAAATCACATCAATTACACAAATACAATAAATTACATAATTACAATACTTAAAGTCATCACAATTAAAATTGTGTCATTTAAAAAAAAATTATTACTGCCAGGAAAGGTGGATGAAAGATTTAACACCAACATAATTTGACAATTTTTAATGAAGGTTGGAGTTTAAAAACTTGTCAACCGAGTAAAAGGTATTTGAGATCAACAATGATTTTACCTCCTTTTTAAAGCTTCTGAAATTTTCTAAAATTCTTATTCTTTCTGGCAATTTATTGTATAATCTACTTGCCTTGTTTTAACACATTATTCTGAAAAAGGCTGCCCTACATGCTCAGATGTATAATTTATTTTTGCCTCTAGTATTGTACTCGTACTTCTGGAAATTACATTCCAGATTATCTCTCAATTGTTTGATAAAAGTTCATATTACATGTTGAATAAAGGACACTTGCCTTGTCTTTGGGAATTCTTCTTCCTTCAGCCAAAGTCTTCTTGCTGTTTATATATGCTGGATAAATACAAATCCATCTGTAAGTAGAACAAGGAACTTCATTACATTTTTACATCAGTCTCCTAATTTCCATGTTGACATATGCAAAAACCCCCTCGTTGGTGTCTCCACCTTATCGTGGTGAGGGTTTGAGTATGCCAAGGACCCTGAGAGCTACCCCAGCGGTAGCGTAGCTACTGGCAGGGCCTCCCTTGCTGGACAGGTCAAAGGGTAGGCATCAGACGAAGAGAGACACCAAAAACTGATGCCGGAAGCAGCGTCATCAGCAGCGAATTGAAGCACACAGCAAATGATGCTCGAGATGGTTCAAGTTCGTATAGCAACAGGCGTGACCAGAGTGGTTTGAACGGCTGTTGTACTGCGATGTGGAAAGCAAATGGAAAAACTACCACATTATCACTTTTCCTGGATAGTCTCTACCCAAAAACAGAAGATCGCATTAAGTGGAGGAACTGTTTTGGAAGAGACTGTGGACCTGTCGTCTGACAGATTACTGATGAATGAATGAATATGCAAAAACTTTGTTCTTGACTCATATACTCGTATAAGCAGTAACACTGAAAGGGAGCACTTTACTGTTTCTCGGACTCAAAGTTCCTATCTGCATGAGCAACATAAAATTTAATGCTGGTGACTTATACCTGAAGAAAAATAGTGGTATTCTTTATACCTTGACTTAATAATCCTCCATAAATTAAACAGGTTATATAATGTCTAACAGCTAAGACAATAACTGAGCAAGTTGGCTCAAGTAGTAATGCTTCCGACTTTTATTTTGGAGATGCTCTGTTCAAATCTTGGCTGTAACACTAACTATGCTGACAGATTTGTTTTTGTCAATTTCCTGTCCCTCTAGATAAAAGTAATTATAGTACCTCAAACTAGGCCATAACTGCTTCCTTCTGCATCCTTTCAAATTCATTTATTGGCATTCACTGAATAATCTGACACTGGATTTTACGTGTACATTATGTAGTTTTGGAATGAATAATAAAGAAATAGGATTTATGTTATTTCGGTCTAGAATTTAAACATGGGCCAAAGTAAACCTACGTTTACCGCTTCCCATCTTACATATTAGCAAATTACCTCTCACGTTCACTGTGCTTCTTCCCAGGATTCCACGCAGTCGCCATGCTCGCCATCTCGCCATCAGGGGGTGGCAACTGGAATAGGGGAAAGGTAAACACGGTAACTACGGTAACTACTGCCTCTACGAATGACTGCAGAAACTTCACGCAGGTCTCGACGGTCTCGACCAATCAGAGAGCCTAAACAAACCAATTTGAATACCCATAATTACTTGCGGTTATCGTGGCGCATTATATGGAAATTGGTAAGTATGAATGTTGATTTGATATGGTTGCGAAACGAAAGTAGACATTTGCGAACGAAATTACAGCTCCATATTAAAGATATTATTTGTGTATATGAATGTTATGCTTACTACCACAAATGGAATTAGAAACATATAGAATTCTTTCAAGCCTAAAATTTTTGAGGTTATCATGAACTGTGTAAGATTTGAGGCTTTCACGGCGGTGACTATGAAGAAAGCAATCTTCTGGGATTTCCTTCTTAGATGCAGAGACCAAAACACCATCCCTCGTTTCCTTCAGTTCAAACACCATATAAATTCTGACGCTGCCGACAGAATCTATAATAATTCACATATACACGGTGCCAAATCCCAGAAGACTGCTTTGTTATCATGAACTGTCATCTAAATGATATTTTTCTTATGATATGTTCAGAAACTTTCGGTTTATCCCAGAGATTGTCTGTTGAATGTGAAGGAGTTCTAAGAGTACCGTGACGTTATAATTTTTGTATTGCTTCTTGCAGCATAAACATGAGAACAAAAACTTGTGTTGCTGCTGGGTGCTTGTCATCCAGCAAGGAAGGCATAAGATTCTTCAGTTTTCCAAGGGATCCAGCACGGTATGTCTGGTTTAATTCATGGTGTAATCACTATGTGTTGCTTAATCCAATGTCTTGGAAAATACATATAG